TTTGTTTGTGTTTTGTATGATGCTGGGGATCAAACGCAGAGACTCACACATGCCAGGCAAGCACTCTATCACTGAGCTACATCTCCAATCCTGTAAGATGGAACTAATACTACCTATTTCATATAATTGATGTAATGATGAAATTAGTTAATATGTATAAAATCCTAAGTGTAGTATCTAACACTTTAGCAATCACAACATAGTAGCTAATAAGAAGTAATAGTAAACTAACATTTTTGAAGAGAAAAATATGAACAAGTTTTTAAATGTAAGGAGCAACTTTAAAGTATTAAGCAGAGTTAGATAAACAAAGGGAAGAGAAAAGTGTAGGGTGTAAAAGAGCAAAATAGCCACTTGGGTAGGGGGTGGTGAGAGAAGAGAAGAGATGCAGGGTACGTGAGCTATGCAACCAACTCCTGAAAACAAGGACTTTGATTCTCTTAGAGTAGAATATGAAAAGAGATAAATGAAGAGTGGACAGAGAAAGATTTGACGGTTTGCTTCTAAGGTGAGTGTGTTAATCAGATTAATTTTCATTTGGCATGTCCTGCTGTTTACTTGGACAGTGATGTCTGAGTAAGTTATTATTTATTATTTCTGTCCCTTGACATTCTGATTAGCTCATCAGCAATCAGTCACTATTCATAGTTCTTCAATTGCTTTTATTAAATAGCAATCCCCTCCTCCCCCAGCCTGCAAATTATTCAGGTTTGGGAAAGAGTAATATCTCTGGAGAGAGTGCTTGCCCCAGGCCAGATGAAATGTAGTCATGCTGCTACACGACTCAGAATGAATCACAGAATCTTAAGACAAACTTTAAGTATTGTATAGTTTCTAGGGAACTTGAGGACATGGCAGCCACTTTTGGATTACTTCAGACTTTGATTATTTTGGAGGGGGAGCATTGAAGAGTTGGTTGAATTGTATGCAGGAATATCCAGGCTAGTTGTATAAAAGTTTCCTTAGTTTGAGCTGTGAAAAGGCAGAGAATGCAGGGCATTCTTGGCTGTTGTTTCTATGAATTAGAGCAAAACTCACACCCAGGTATAACTGTAGCAGAGATTATCATGAACCTGGTAAACACAGTATAGTTCTCTCTTCCTTTTCAGGTTTTTGGGGATGGTCCATGATCTTTGGAGTTAGTCCAAGAACCAGTCTATACAAGTTGACATTTCTTTACACATTAGATTTAATCTTGAAAAGTTGTAAACAAGGTAAATATTTTAAAAACTGAGTCATATTTTCCCATCCTAAGAAAATTTGTTCTCACTGAAAAAAACAAACAACAACAAGAAAAGCAAAACCAAAAAACATTGGTCCTTTTCTAATGAAAATAAAACTACAAAATACAAGCCTTTTTCAGTGAGGACTCTCCACTTGTCAGTGTAGAGACGACAATAATTTTCCATACAAGAAGTTAGTCAGGTGCATCCATGATCTTGAACACACAATTAAAAACAAATAGTTATTTCCATATTATTGAGATTTCTCTAATAAGGAAAGGGACTTGAATGTTTAAGCAGCTCCGTTACCCTCAGCATTATGTTTTGCTTTTAATGACATTGCCTCATGAGTAGAACCACAAAAAAAATTGTCCTTTTATTTAGATTTATAGGGCTTCAGTCTTTTGTGGTTATAGTTGGACTTTGTTTGGATGGATGTGAAGTTTTAAAAAACGAATATACTCAAAGCAGTGCTGCCCTTAAAACAGAGCAACATCTTGAGACATGTTTAAACCATTATACCCTGCCTTAATTTTGAACAATTAAGACTTGATTTTTTTTTTTTGCATCCCATAAACACTAACTGGACTGTCCTTATACAGGACCTGGAAAGCATGAGTGATCATACATTAATTCAACAAGCAGTGATATTAAATCTTATGCTGGTTTAGTTAGGTTTTGAAAGCAAGAGTATAGGACAAAACCCCCAGACTTAGGAGTTATCCTAGTAAATCCTTCAGATTGCTCATAAAGTATGGTATTTGTAGTTTCATGTGTATAACAACATTTCTTATGTGCAGCATAGTCTGAGAATGGCTGTGCTAGAATAAAGGAAAGAATGAAAGAGGAGCTGCCTATACACTAGTCCTCAAAGAGGTGGGGAACATGAGAGTGTCTGCTTGCCTGCAGGCCTTATTCCATTTTGCCTTCCGATTAAGCCTCTACAATCTTCATACACGTTAATAGATTAATTTGGTTTTGTAAAGATTGAATTGGATAATATATGTGAAAGCACTTTGTTCCAGATCTGTTGATGGTGATACATTTAAATCTAAAGGTTGCTTGTCAGATCCACATATATGTTGAACTTGGGAAAGAGAGAAGAAGTTGGCCTCCTCCTTGCTCTCTCTGAATTGGGCTTCCTCAGTGTCCAGCAGTGACTTCCATGTTTTTACAAGTTGGCCATATTGTGGTTGGAGGTAGAAGGGTAGGGTTTTCTAAGTTCTAAGGTCAGCCCTATTTTGGCACATTAAAGGGAATTACATGAATGTCTTATATTCCTTTGGTTCTCTAACTCATGTCTCAGTCTTTTAGAATTGTATATGAGAAATCACCTGATGAAATTGTACAGCCCATCTACACCTCTCTCTATGGTGGAGTCATGAATATATGCTTACATTTATTATGAATCTTTTGGGGTACGTGTGAATATGTATTTGGGGGGAGATTCCCAGGTGATTCCTATATAGCCAGCATCTTACTTTTGAGACTTAGTGATTGGAATCTTGGGAGAGGAGTATTGTGCTCCCAGACACTATAAACATTTCTGATCCTGTGTTAGCTTAAATTATTAGGAAATGCCTACTGTATTTTGATCCAGATTTCAAAGCATATAATTTCAGTTATTATATGAATCCAGAATTTATTAGGCAAGTCATTCATAAGATTGGTTGCTTAATAGGTGAAGTTAGTATAGGGAAATTTACATAGTCCAAAAATGAAATACCAGTTAAGTTTCTTATTTGTTGGAGTGCTAGGATCTTTGATTACCAGTCCCCATTATTACTGAAAAGATCACCTGAGGTCTTGATTGTTTTTTATAACCTAAGTTTTGAATTGCATTCTTTTTTTCATTTTAGAAAAGAATTTGCTGTTTCTCATAATTTAGTTCAAGTTAAACATTTTTACTGAAAATTCAGACTGAAAAGGAAATGTATGTACATTTCAGCTCTGATTTATTAAGGTGGGAAGCTCTATTTACACTAACTTTGTTGGATTTCACTGGATGTTTCTGTCTTCACTTTTCCTTACTTTGTCATTCCTGATGTATTGTCTTCATGTGTAGAGTAAATGCTTGGTCCTATCTTGTCAACATTTTTCTTGGATTAGGTCCCATCAATTATGCTCATTTTCTTTATCCTTAGTCTTTTTATCTCCTCTTATATATTGTCCTCTGTGTGTGTACAAAATCTAACTTTCCTTGTACTAAAATAACCATCCCTCTTTTCCACCTTGTTTCTTTTCAACGTATCATTTGATCTCTTTGCTTCCCTGTTCTGGCTGGCACTCTTGAAAGATTAACTGTATTTCCAGCATCCTCATCTTGACCTTTGCAGTTTGGCTTCTGCTCTCATGACTTTATTGGAACTCCACTTTCAAGGAGTCACCAGTAACTTCTCACTTTTCCAATCTAGAAGTCTCTTCTAAGCTCTCGTTCCCTTTGGCCTTTTTGAAATAGGCAAGGAGGTTGATCACACTCTCCTCCTTGACATATTTCTTCTTTTGGCACACATGACACTTTAGACTCTGTTGTCTAACCACCTCTCCCTTTGCTGAATCATTCCCTGCTTTCTCTATACAAGTGTGTTTATTAACATGTTCTTCTCTCTGCCTTTCCTGTTCATTTTACTTTTTGTGCATTCTTTCTTACTACATTTTAGTCTATGTGCTTGGACAAGTCTGTGGGGTAGACCCTATAGGATTGTGGGACTGTATTGAACCTTCCCTTACCTGTACTGGCTAGAGGAAGGGAGAATAGGATGAAAAGCTGATGTTATTGTCAGAAAAATGGTGTCCAGATATATCAAATCTGAAAGGTAAATGTGAAAAATAAGGAGTAAGCCATAAGAGTAGCAGTTTGGATGAAGAAAAACAGGATAGCAATGTGAATACATATTTTCTCCTGGTCACTCACACATAAGGCTTCATGCATATTACCTGGAGCCATGATATTGTTAAGAATTGTTACTGGAAATTTGACTTCCATAGTGATTTCTCTGGAGAAGAACTTCTAATCTATATCAAAAGCCCAGTTGTATTATCTTATGAACCAAAGCTCTATCCTCATCTTTTTAGATCATTTCACTTGGATGTCCATCTAGTACCCTATATTTAATAACTCCCAAATTAAGCTAATCATTTTTTCCTGAAGCTAACCTTTGCTTCCTAATGAATCCTAGTTCTGTGTCATTCTAGATCAAAAATTCAAACCCATCCCTGATTCTCCTTTAGCCCTATATCTGTATCTAGCAACTTGAAAAAGTGTTGCCAATGTATCTCTAAGTTTCTTGTAACTGATACCACATTTTCTTTCCTTTGCTTCAACCTCACAGCTACCCTACACTCTTGTGATAGACCCCTATTTAGTATTCTTAACCCTAATCATATTTATTACTACCAGTGTAGTTTCCAAACTCAATTGTGAATCTGCTTAATGCAATATTCCTAGCCAGAGATCATTGTTTCTCCTTTAGTGTTCTTTTAGCACTTATGTTTTCCATCATTATGTGAGTATATCACTTATATTATACAATACATATAAATTTCTGTATATAAATTATCAATCTTTATAGATTGTAAGCTCCTTAGGGGCAGGAACTGTGTTTTGTTTACTGGCTATCCCCATATATCCCTTGTATTGACATGCAACATTTGCTGATTGGAACTAAACAACTGCTTGGCTAGAAGTAATCTGGTTCCAGTTAATAGGTGATTTGTGATCCTCATCTTAATTTGACATTAATTTCATATTTTGTGCATTTGTTTTATTCTGAAAAGCTTTTTTATTAAGCTGGGCTGATGACATAAATGGAACAGTTAACTGGAAGACCAAACAGGCCAACAGTTTTATTATCAGCAGAAAAATGGCTGCTGGGAAGAAAGATGGTGAGTTTAGGTTATAAATGTGAATCTGTTTTGGGGAGTCAATTAAATGTTTGCTTTCAATATTCCCTTTGCATTTTTAGTTGTGTGTGTATGTGTGTGTGTGTTTTTTTAAATGAGTCAGTTGAAAAAAATAAAATTTTGTTTTCCTACACTTCTAAAATTTATGATCCTCTATGTTCTTAACCAATTATTTCCCTTGCACTAGCTTTATATATTGTCCCCTGTGTAAGTTTTAAAAACTAAATCTAATTTTTAAAAACTAAAAATCTTGCCTGTTTTAACCTTGTTTCCCCTTATTAAGTCACTAGCTCACCACTTAAAAATTGTTCCAGTGTGGTTAATATAACAACTTATTTATAACATTTAAAAACATTAAAAAAGTATAATTAACATATATTATTTTAAAACAGCATTTATATAAACTTAGAAAAATTATAAAATATTTTGTCTAATTTGGGATTTTTGTTGCAAGATCATGTTGATGTTTTGCTTTTAAATAATTAGTTGATGACTGCTTTCTGTTGGAAAGGTGACTTGACCCTTGAATGATGACCTGATCCTTCTAAATTTTTCTTCTCTAGTCTACAAATATGTCCATTAGCAATATTCCATGACCTTTGAAATAATGCATTTTATTAGGGAGGAAAAGCCTCACTTAATATGAATATTGGTTGTTTTCAAAATATCAATTATCATTATGAACTTTCACTGAATATTTCTTGATTACTCATCCTTAGGACCCTGACCTACAACATTGGATATATGTGGTCTTGAACATTACCTTCTAGTAGCCTGGTTTCTATAGCTTTGGGGCAAAGTGTCTATAAAAATAAAGATGACTCTTCTGGATTTCACAATATATTGTACTCTAATACAGCCATCCTTTCCATTTCCTACTTTCTTTCTCTTTAACTTTGATACCTAGAACTTCTGTCCTCTCGGAGCATCCCACTCCTGTTGCTGTTTGATTTCTGAAAAGGGTCCAGCTTAGTCATCTCTTTTGATGCTGTTCTTAGTGAAATCCATTCCAAGACCTTTACTTAGCATTTCCTAGAATCTCCAAGAGTAGCAGTGTTTTCTTTCTTCAAACTTCAAGCTCCTATTGGACGTCAAAATAATTTTCTCCTTGGGACTTGAGAGAGAACTATAGTTCTCAAAATACAAATAGATAATCCATCTTTAATCTACTGAAGTAGCCTGTCAGGTCATCATGATTTCTTATTTTCTGTTTCTCCTGATCTCATCTTTAGATTCTTTTCCTCCTCCTTTCCTGGTCACTTCCTCCTATTTAAGTCCCATCATTACCATTACAGTTTCTTTCTTTCTTTTTTCACCAGGGCTTCATGCATGCTAAGCTCACACTCTACCACTGAGCTCATACTTAGTTACCTATCAATACAGGTCTGAATTACAAAAATAACTTGTACAGAAAGTGTAAGTTTCATCAACTGTATGAAAAAAATTCATCACTTTTAAAATTATAGTAACAAATACTTGTAGCTTGTACAATAAAGGCAATTTAAATGTTGTATCAGAAACCCAGGGACTTGTACATGCTAGGCAAGCACTCTACCAAATGAGCTATATTCCCAACCCCTTCCCAATGTTCTTGACCATGAATTCCAATCAATTCCTTTTGGCAATTGCAAGAGAGTACAACATATTGTAAAAGTTAAAAAAAAAATTGTCAAATAAATTAACAACTTTTTTGTAACTTACTTTCTAAACAATATTCTGATTCTTAACCAAAGCAGTAAGATAGTACCTCTTCTATAAATAGAAATTCTGAGGAATTTGCCTCAGATCAGCAAATTGAATATCATTCTACCTTGACACATATTAAGTAATAGTAGAAGTCATAAAAAGCACCCTAAATATGGATTGCCTTTTGCCACCTCTGGGATGAGAGTGAAAAACTTAAAATTTTTAAGTTTACTAGTGAAATAATTTAAATAAAAAGGACTAAGCCTTCACATTTATATTCCTTTATTTAAACATCTTTAAATTCTCCTTTTCTACTTAGGAAAACTCATATTCTAAGATGGGTCAGTCTTAGAGGTTTACTGATAAACTTTCATTATGTTTTCTTAAGAATCTAAAGCTAAGTAAAATATGATTGTGCCCAGAATTAATAATTATTTTCAATTTAAATGTTATACTTTAACTGAATACTCATGGGAATGAAGCAATATGTATGTTAGATAAACTGACAGACTTCTCTTCCATCATCTTAAACAAAGGAGTCTCCTTCTTGGCTTATTGACAGTCAAAGGACTACTTGGCTTGAGGATAGGAGTCTTTCTCTAGATAATTTAATTTCCTCCGTGGTTGGAGAGGATGCAGGAAGTGCCCCTAGGGCTGAAAGTACTCCTTTGCCTCTGAAGGGTGGCAGAGTCAGGGGAAGGATCACAGAGTTCCAGGACTTGGAAAAAATTGTCTATCTACCAGAGATGGGAAGTTCTCCTCCTGAGCTCTGGCCAGGGCTGAAATGTCTCTTCTTCTAACCTTCAGGAGTGTTTCTTTCTTTAAAAATGTTTGTTTGAAACTTGATTGTCAACTCACTTTATAAAATAATAAAATAAACTCAGATTATCTTCATAATACAAGGAGAGAAAATTAAGAAAATTAAGCTTTTAAGCAATATAATAAGCTTTTGTGTGGGGAAAAAATAGTGGAATGTATAACCACCAAATGTGTTAGCTTGTGTTTTGAAGTTAATTAACTACATGACTATTCTGATTCAAGTCAAAACTCTTCTTCTTGCTAGTTCTATATGCTTGAACCCTCTGAGTTCAGTATTATCCTCTGTGTAGTAAGGTGAAGGACTGACTCCTCCAGGAGAACAAATGCGTGCTACCTCCAATTGGTGGTAACTGTCAGGAATCCTGGGTTGAGTGGGGGCTGGGGCCATATCCAGGTTGGAAGTAATGCTGTGATCTCTCTTAGTAGAGATATTTGGCATGCCCAGACAATCTAAAACCCTTTTCAATTTTTTAGCGTTCTGTGAGAATAGTGTTCTATTGATCACCAATTAACAATGCTTTGCAACTCCTTTCCCACTGACAGTTTAGAAACAAAAAAGAAAAATGCATGCAAAATAAAATGATCAAGACGTTTAATTCCAATTTGGAAAAATTAAGTGTTTTTTTTTTTGGGGGGGGGTGTCTCATGAAGAAACTCTTCTGCTTTTTTTTGTAGAAAAAAGATCCAAGCAATGGTTTCCCTTCTGCCTCATGTAAAGACAAGTGGCCGTATCTTTTAGAGAAGTGAAGTTTACAAAGGCAATCTAATCAGGCCCTTGTGATGAATCCCGTAGTCTAGGTGTGGACCCTGTGTGGCCGAAACAAAAACAATAGCTGCCCACCTTCAGGTGAACGGAGGGCAGCACTTTGATGTTGAGTAAACTCAAAGGTGAATGGCAGGCCGATGAGAAAAGCTTTTGATTCAAAGCCAAGATTTAAAAAGTTGAATTGATAAAACACAAGATAAATCCTAGAAAAACAAAAACACAGGTTGTATACTTGGCTGGATATTGAAATCTCTTAAAATACTTTTCTGCAGCAATGTTCTGATAAAATGATTACATTTCAATTTGACTAAAGTAATAAAATATTTAAAAATAAATTAGTAAGGAACCTGTAAGTATTTAAGACTCTGGAAACCTGAAATGAGTTCTCTTAATGCAGTATAGATAGCAAATGGGATTCATCTCTTGTAATCGGTGCCGATGAATTGGTAGCTGCTTGGAGTACTGTGTAGGCAGGGCTCTAAGCTTTGAGCTCATAAAGAACTTTAACCTGTTAAAACTGTAGTATGAAACTTATTTTTCATATCAGTGCTTAAAAATTTTAATTATCAGGGTAATTGTGCCTAGGTGCTTAGATAACATTTTTATTTTAAAAGCTGTATAAGATAGGGAGCTATTTAATGCTTTTAAAAAATCTTAAAACTTATTTGAAAATCATCATCATTCTCATTCAAATTTTTTTTCCAGATAATACTTAACATTAACACAGTGCTGCCAGGAGGAGGGAAAGGGGAAATACTTGAGAATTATATTAGCTAAATTATACTGTTTATTATATGCATATACACATATAAAACAACAAATTTACCCTAGTACAATTATAATGCAGCAATAAAAATATTTTAAAAAATTGCAAACTGTAAAACAATGAATAGAAATAAAGGTACAATCTTACAGTTTTAAAAAGGAAATGCTATGAATTATTAAGAAATGTGCAGTATCTTATTTAAGTAATTTGGACTCAAATCACCTTTGTGATGCTTCCCAATGAAAAACTTACATCCTGAGACTCTCTGAACATGAGAGGCAAATTAACAAAATTGAAATGCTTTTAGAAACAGACTTTAATTTCATATTAATTATTACAGTCTACTACAATATTCTTAGGCTGCTTTAGATATTGCTAAGGATAATATATCATTTGATCCATAGATCTTTGTTTAAAGTATCCACATATCAAACATGTAAGAAATTATTTTATACAAAACATTACATCCATTTTGATTTGATATCTCAAGTCTGTATAATCTATAGATTGAATTAAGTCTTTCAATTGTATACTTTTTTATTTCTGAATGTATTTAATACACATAGTTTATGCTGTTATTGCCTCAAGTAATGGCTATATCCCAACTATGGTAAGATTATCTATTTAGAAGTATACTGCATTAGATAAGGACCAGGAAATATGCCACAAAAGGGTCTTTGGGCAGCCAAAATAGATACTGCAAATGCAGGCTCCCGTTTTTGTTTTTTCCATCTAGTAGAGCACTGCATGTGTTCAAACAGCATGTATTTGTTCTTACTTTAACACACAATCCCATCTCATTTAGTAGTCTGGTTTCTAAACCTGCAGCAGATTAATAATAGCAAATTAGAGGGGACAGAGAAGCTGCTACAGGAAACATACTGATAGCAATGAGAAATGACAGCTGACAACTTGTCTACAGAGGAGAAAACAGAAAATCTATAAAACACACAACCTTAAAAAGCTTTAGCGGACTAGGACCCACTAGTGTGATCGGTAAATGACAAGGCAACCAAACAGTCCATAAGGGCATCACTGCATAATAGAGCAGAGTGCAATAATTGATGTGCAAGATGATGATCTTATACACATCGTGAAAAAGGTTCTACCGCTGAGTACATTAAAAAAAAAAAAATCAGCTCTCTAAAACAATTCGTTCCGTGGGGTGCCTGGTAAAATGAGATTTTGCTATATCCTTGTAAGCCTTAAAAATTAGAAAATGATGATATAAATTGAACTTTTTAAAGTGATTAATTCATTGGTAAAGCATGTATAAGAGAGACATACACATAATTGGTACCTAATAAATGCCACTTGGACATGAATATTGACAATAATTTATGACTTTCTTCTCAAAGATTTCAAAAGGGAGACAACATTAAGATTTAAGTCTAGTTGGAACTTTCAAGTCTCACACTCGGCAGCTATTTTATCTTTATGGCCACGTATTTGTTCTTGGTGACGTAGAAAAAGGTCTGGTAAGTGTCCTCTGGAGTTTTTGAAGAAAAGGGACTGCATGCATGTCTGCTCCTGTGCAGACGCCATTAATAATGATCACTGTGCTAACTGTGAAGTTATATGTCTTAGATTCATTAGCAGTGCACCACCATAGTACTTTCAAAATTTAATGTTTACCAAGTACATCCAAATTTGCTTTTGTTTTTAGGTAATTGTAAACACACAAATGCACATCCTTAAATTTTTATCGTGGAGAGAAAATTTCCAACGGACTCTTAGTATGAGAAGACAGGATGCAATTTGGCTAGCATGAGGTCTCACTTTATTGCTATTGCTATCACAATCTGTTATTTGATTCTTGGCTCTGTGCTGTCACATAATATACAGTTGTTGAAATGGTCTGTAGTTTCTATACCCTATGACTAAAACATATCAAGAATAGTTCTGTGAACAAGATTTTGGTAGCACAGTCAGGAGAGAGATCAGAGCTCAGAGAGGATGAAATAATCATTCTGGCTACTTGCTGACATACCCTTTTGGCTCTTTTCTACTCAGAGATGTGATTTTTTCCTTAAAAAAATTTTCTATGACTTACATCAACTGCCGTCAGAAGTTTTTAATCTTTGCAAATCTAACCATCTTTGCTATTTGAAGATAATGTTTTTGATCCTCTGTGGGTTGGACTTTTGGTTTAATTGTTTTTCCCATTAATGGTGATAGATTTACACGGATTTAGCCACACACTGGTTTCCAGTTTCATTTGTATCCAGTGGCATGTGTTTGCAGAGGTAATGGATTTGCAGCTGTAGAAGATTGCAAAACCATGCGATACACAGAGAAGCCAGACCCTGTGACCTCGGCTTGATTAGCATGGCACCGTACACATGTATATTTCAGAGATTATTAGATCTTAGTGTTGAGGATTCTTAGGGTGTTTAAATTTGATTTTCAAGACTTGCTCTTAAAGAAAACAATATGTTTCGAGCTTACGGGTTGTGAGTACTGTCTAGGCATATATGATTGTAACATGTGTTAACTGTTAGTAACAGCCTCTGTGGGTGTTGCTGCAGAACCTATCCGAATTATTGATATGGCTCATATTTAGAACAAGAGCCTGGAGCTTCAAATTGTCTGTGTCATTTGTTGTTTTTGAAAGGAAGGATAGGTGTAAATACTGCCCAAATAGCCTCTGTTGAAGAGCTATTTGTTTTGCAAGTAACAAATGGGAAAGGGAAAAGGAGAAGGCTCTTCTCTAAAATGTTGTGTGGGTGCCCATAATTTAAACTGATGCTACAGAAAGGAAGTATTATTTTCCCAAACAAAACATAGTGGCTTAGTCATTTTCCATTTCTGGATGATGAATGTGTCATACATCTGTATCATGTTTTTCTCGAAGTGAATGGCATACTATACTTAAAGTGAAGCAGGCTTTACTGTGGAGTTGCCAAGGTAACTGACCAGCAAGTATGCAGTTCAGGAGATTGCAGAAAGGCAATTGAGTACACATGAATAAAGAAATGTGCATGTCATCTTAAAACCCAGGAGGGCCGTGGTAGATTGTGGCCTGACTCTGTAGATCGAAGAAATTTTTTTTTCCCCCGAAGGCAGAATCTGAGATGTTGAATGCTAGTCCTTAGAAGTGAGGTGATATGGAGTGCAGGTACCCTTTAATGGTGCCACTTGAGGCCCTGTGGAGGGCTGTATACAAAACAGAATCCTTTTAATATTATTTAATAAGAATAATCTTTCTTTTGCTTTATAAGTTAGCTTTAACCACCGTAAAGCAGCAAAAACTAAGAAACTTATTAGTAGTTGGTGATGTAAATGGAGGATAGTAATCTGTAAGATGCAACACCTTAAATTAAAAATTTAATATGCTTAATCCACTAGCATGAGACCTGTGTTTGCCTCTGCAGTGCTTTGTATTAGAGTGTTTTCATCCATTCCGTAAACACATGCTCAACACTCTTATCTGTTGAGAATATGACAAGGTAGACTGTCTTTGTACTTCATGGTGTTTTTAATCTCTAGAAAGAGTGAATTAGATAAGTTCAGAAGAGATTCATTTAAATTACTCAAATATTCCTGTGCTTTGGATGTATGGTTGTGATCTGAAATTTAAACACCTTTATCATAAAGTGAAATAACTTGCCATCAGGAGTCCAGAACTCTCCACAATTTGACTCTTCTTTCTTTCCCAGATTTCCTTCCCCTTAAAACAAACAAAACAAAACAAAACAAAACAAAACAAAACAACAACAAAACCCAACCCAGGATCTAGCATAATTGACTTAATTTGCTTTCTTGAAAGGGCCCCATAGTATCCCACTATTGTGTCTTGCATGTGTGTTTTTTGCTGAATGTCTGAATTGCTCATCTCTAAGATTTGGAAACCGACTAGTGTTGTAAAAGCCATACTGAGTTCCACTTCTTCCAAAGATCTTTTTCAGAACTTTCCAACCTCAACTGCTCATCCCATCCTTCTAGGTATTGCCAGAGCAATTTATACCTCTGGAACAATAACTACATAGGTATGTATTGGTCTTCCAAACTGGATGGTGAACTCATGAAAGCAGGGACAGGGTCTCATTATCAAATTCCCTAAAGCATGGAGGATTTAGGTCACACTGCAGTATTGAAAAACAAAGTCAAATTTCCATCCTTACTATATTTTTGTGTTTCATTTATCTTCATCATTTGGGATTGGGATCACTTCTACAGGTGAGTAAACAATCTGTGGGTAGAAGTTGGGCACTCTAAACTTCCCAGGAAGACTGTTTATGAAGACTAGTTGGGAAAGAGAGTTTCCCTACATACCAGTTAAACCTAACTGTAGCTTCTTTTCTTCTTTTGCATAGCCTTTGAAGTCATGTTTTTCGTAGTCAAGTTATAGATATGGGAAGCTATAAGCCAAATATTTTAGTTGAGTTTGACTTTTTTGGTAGCCATCAACAGAATGGCAGGGACAATGTTTCAGATAAAGAAACATCTTGCAGGAGTTTCTGTTTTTACACTGAAAAATTTACTGTCAATGATCTTGCTATCCAGGGCTTTTAGTAAGTTGTGAGCTTGGTGTGAGCAGCCTTGGGGTTCTTAAGGTTAATTACCACATTTACAAATCCATCAGTGACTAAGAGAAAGAACTAGCCTGATAGGGTTTATCTGTCTAAAAATTGCAGCCACTAGCCAATCAGGAAGATAGAAAACCAAAAGAGATGGTAGGGGTGACAAGGGTAATGGCAGTAATGTGTTGGTAGAAATGATGATATCAGAAGAAAAACAATAGGTGGAAACTACTCAAGCCAATTTGGCCATTTTAATGGATTCACATCTTATGTCTTAAGTAACAGTAAATCATGAAATTGTCTCCATTTTATTTCAAGAAATTATTTGCACTGCATTGTATTGTGTAATTGTTATTGCTTATTTAGGATGTGAAATAGTATGATAGATTATATTGTTTGAGTTATTAAATGTCAAGATCAGGGGAAATGGAGTAAATTAATTATTTCTAGAAGAGAGATGAGGAATGTATACTCAGAAAAAGTACCCAATGCATTTTTATAAGTATATTCAAGTTTTTCTTATGTATTCTAATGATATTATATAGTCTGACATGCTTTTTCTAGAAAATAATTAGTATGGTATAGATTCTCATCATTTAAAAATTACTCTAGGTACTTCCTTAAAAAAAAAGTAAAGAGGAAAAAAAATCAAACCATGGTTATAATGTAATTGATCAGTTCCTGTGATGTATTTGTTGGTCAGAATTTCAAGTAAAAAAGAAATTACCAAAACAATATTATGGATCTCTTCATTTTTTAAATAACAGTTAAAATATTAAATGTATGTAATTTTATTAACAGTGTTTGGCAAGATTCTAAACCTAAGTAAAAGAGTTTGTCCATGTTTTATACTAAAATCATTTCCTTTTAAAAACAAACTGTTATTAACAGTGCTTCTTCATGTTGTTTCAGCTTTCTCAGAAATTTCTATAGAGTGAAACCTGCTTTTCAGGCTATGTTGAATTATCAAGGATGTATGTCATTATTTGTCTGTCTCTTATCTTTCCCCTTTATTTTCAGTGTACACTATCTTCTCGAAGGTGCACTCTGATCGGAATGTGTACCCATCTGCAGGTGTCCTCTTTGTTCATGTTTTGGAAAGAGAATATTTTAAGGGGGAATTTCCACCTTACCCAAAACCTGGTATGTTCTTTGTGTAAACAAAGGTGGTTAATTACAGAATGTTCCTTTTTGTTCATTGTGCATAATCTGTATGATCAAATATCATTAACATTATTTGAAATCATTTAGATATATAATAAATTGCTTGTTGTAGGTTATTTGTAATTTTAAGATTATTAATTTAATTGCAGAAGGAAATAATTTACTTTTGAATTTTATTTTTTATTGTTGCATTGTAATTATACACAATAGTGGGTTTAGTGGAATATTCAAATATGCATATAACATCAATTTTATTCCCATATTTTTGAACTTTAAAGAAAACATATTTTTCAATTCTTAATTTGAAGTTTTATGCCTCTGACAAATGATCTACCTGTATTCACATAGAAATAATTATAACTGAACAGTTGTGATTTTCCATATTAAGAATTACATTCTTATATTGATTTTTGAAAAACTGTACATGTTATAGAAGAGAATGAAATATGATGTTAAGTAAGCATTCTCAAAAAGCCTTTATAATATCAGATAATTTTATAAAAATTCATAGTAATATAATGAAGATTAATTTTTCCTTCAAAATAATACCAATTATGGAGTCTTATTTAATTCACTATTAGTTTAAATATGTTATTTTGAATTATCACAAATGCCATCACATTAATGAAGATATAGAGAGACTAGCAAGAAAAAACACATTAAATTATAACTCTCAAGTAACAAAAATGACTTTTCTGAAAATTGTATTTTGCTAGAACATATTTTACGCATTAGAATTAATATAAATATTTCTTTGGAGGAGTGTATGATGAATATAAAGTCTCTGAAAACATTCATAAAATAAAGGTAGACATGTTCTTAATAGTATTTGAGCAAAAAGGTAGTCTTTTCATCAATTATTTAAAAAATGTTTCCTTATGGGGCATCCAGTGTTTGCAAAATTATATGATTAAACCTTTAGAGAAGTAGCTGTAACACTTTGAGATGCAAACATGCAGTTAAGAGCAAAATTTCTGAATTCAGCCAGGATTAAGGTCTAGTTTTACCACTTAATATGACCAATCATGGAGAAGTTACATAATATAGAAAATTACATATTATATCATATGTATGTTTTAAAAATCAGATGACACAGTGTTTATGAAGCATTTAACAAAGGGCCAGGCACATGCTAATTAATCATGCTGTCATTAATGTTTATTATTAGTAAATGTCATTACTACAGTTGTTTGGGATTTGTAACATCTTTTTCATCCTAATACCCCAAGTTTTAAAATTATGTTATTTTTATGTTGGTGATACCTTTTTAATTATCTGGACATCTATTAGCATTAATTTGATGATATTTGGAGTTTGATGAAAGGAATACTTCTCAAAAGAATGAATTTATCAGTATGGTTAATGATGATGTAGAGCTATTCTATCATTGCTGTAACAGCCGTACTCTTAATTACTTCCTCCAAAAATTTTCCAAGAAAATTGTATGAATTTGCTTTTTCAGTTGGATCAGATTTCTAGACAAATTAAACAACCAAAATAATTTTTCATTACATGGAGCCCTACTCTAAATTCCCAGATGGATTTTTTTGTTTGTGTATTTAATTTGCTAAAAATGTAAAAAAAAAAATTTTTTTAGACAGAATGTTTTGATTGAAACTATCAAAGCAACATGTGTGAAAGTAAATGTCTTATGTCTTAATTTTGTGTTTCTTATCTAGGGGAGATTAGTAATGATCCCATAACATTCAATACAAATTTAATGGGTTACCCAGATCGACCTGGATGGCTTCGATATATCCAAAGAACTCCATATAGTGATGGAGTCCTATATGGTTCTCCAACAGCTGAAAATGTGGGGAAACCAACTATCATTGAGGTAATTTACTTAAAAAGAATAAAATTGTGTGTGTGTGTGTGTGTGTGTGTGTGGAGAGAGAGAGAGAGAGAAAATTTTAAGCATTGAAACTAAAATTACATGGCAATCATTTTAATATTTTTAATATTAACATCAGTTAATATTTCCATTCATCTATAAAGTTTGTTGTTTTAGCTTTTACATGAAAAGATAATTAAATTAACTAAAAATTAAATGAAATTTTTAAAGAAATATATTACTGGAATGTAAATTATTTTTAAGAAACTAAATGCAAACTTAAAATAATTATTTGCTCTGTATTTTATATTCAAATTTCTTGTTCTCTGAAGTGTAGTCCTTCAGCTGACATCATATTTGACAAGGATTGTGCAGGTACTTAGGGCTAGAAAGATGAGTAATTGGTCCAGGGTTTGGGGCACTGGGAAAGAAACAGATATTTAGCCAGCACTGTGATGACTGATATAAGAAGAAGGCTATCTTGGGCAGAGGAGACAGCACTTGGTAGAGCACTTGCCTAGCATGTGCAAGACTCTGGATTCCATCTGCAGCACAAAAACAAGCAACCAATAAAAAACAAAAAGTCTTTTGAAAACTCTTTTTAAGTATGCAAGAATTCTTTCTTGCTTTCCAGTACTGGGGATTGGACCCAGGGCCTTATGCAGGTCAGGCAAGAAATCTACTAGTAAGCTCAGGATGTATCCAGTAAGACCTAAATATTTTTAAATTAAGAGGAAGAAGATGGATCAATTTCCTTGTATTTGTAAATTTTTTTCCTCAAAAAGAAATTATTTAAAAATAGCCACAAACTGGGAGAAAACATTTGTAATATATGTAACTGATTAAGGGTGAGTATCTGAAATATAAAAAGAAGTGCTACTCTTACTAGTAATGAGTAATAGTTAAATTAAAACCACAATGAGAATGTTACTATCATTAAATCCGCTGCATGTGGATGTGGGAATTAGCATAACTACTTTGAAAAACTACTGACTGTTTCACATATTTAAGTATCATTGTATCCTATGATCTAGCAGTCCTAATTCTTAGCTTAACCAGAAGAAATACTTTCAGATATTTACGTGGAGGCATGCTCATTAAACAATATTTTTATAGCAAGATACTGGAAACCTACAAAACAATAGAGACCCGAAACTCTATCAGCAAGAAAATAGATTAATAAATCATGATATAGTGGTGCAATGAATGGTAAGCCTAACACTGAACTAATGCTTGCCTGGCAAAATGAATAAATGGGTTTTAGATCTTGTTACTGAATATAATATTATGAATATGTATCATATAATAGGCTGAAAGATAATGGTGAAAATTTAGCGTAGTTTTCATAGAACACAAATAGCAATTTATCTGTGAATAGCTTATTTTTATATCCATGTGTTGGTATCAGTATGATATTTTAAGAACATCATTCTATTAGTTTAGGCAAAAGTTTTGCATATCTTCACCTACTATTTAATGTTATAAATATATAGATTAATTCATTCAGTAGATATTTATCTATAATATTTAGAATTTAAATATCTAAAATAGATCAGGCATTGTATTAAAGTAGAGGATCAAAAATAAACTGTACACACACCCCTCAGCTTTGAAGGTCTTTACATCTTTGTAATATAAGTATAATTCGGCTAATGTTATTATAGTACTTAAATATCTTATAAGAAGTGGTAGGACTACATTCTGTTATAAATGTTGAAATTAAACATTAAATATAAATTCAGATAATAAAATTTTCCTCCTAATAAGGACTATTCTTCACTCCTTTCAGTAGCTTGTGATTTTAAAAAAATACTTATTAGAGTTTATGAAATAGTAGTGAAATTTGTGAGAAATATGGGAAGGTTGGACATGAAAATATGGTTATTATAGCAAGACACTGGAAACCCACAAAATAATAGAGACCCCCAAACTGTTGAAAATACATTTTTTTTTAGTTGAAGCTATAAGGTATAACAAATAGGAGAAGATTGGTAATTTTTTTCTCACTAAAAGTATTTTTTGTAGGGTAAACTCTGAAAGCCATGAAAATTCTCAAATAAAACCTACTATATGCATTTTTTTATTGGCTTTGTTTGAACAATAATTTCTACTTTTCTTTAGTGACTGGTCTTAATTTTAGTGTTCAGTGTGAGCCTAGCAGCAAAGAAGTGTTTGATTCAATGGAAATTTCACAAACTGGAGACAGAAATCCTTTTAACTTTGTGGAATAATATGCCTTTCAGAATATAGACCTTTTAAATATTGTGTCCAGGTTTGGAACTATTTATTGCAAAATTCTGATTCTTAACTTTTCTCTAAATAACTCAAGATTGCAGTTATTTCTTTTGAAGATCATATGTAATATATAGAAATCTTTGATATCTGTTTTTAAATGCACAAGATTTTTCTTCTTGGTTGGAGCCAGTTTTATCCTACCCTTTTGTCTCACTGTCAACTACAGCTGAAATTACTGCCAGAAGTCTAGTGCTGGGATTCTAAGACTTTGACACAATCATTTGTTTTTTCGAGGTACTATAGTTGTGTCTGAATGATTTAATATCTGCTTTAAAATTAATTATTCCTTGATTTTTGAAGTCATATCCCGTTGTTGGCCTTTGCTTTGTTTGTTGTTTGCAGTGGCATTTCTGAGTTGACTTTGATGTAAGTTCATTGGCTCTGCAAATGTTTACTAATATTTGCCTCCATGGAGGAATTGATTTGTGCTTTTGAGCATGTGCCATAAGCTATATAGACTATGATCCCTACTGTTTTACTCCTATATGTGAGATATGATTTCCAAAGGGTTATTTACAAGTTTTTTTGACTGACTGGTATGCAGTTTAATACTAAATGCAAATAACACAAAGGTGTGCTTATTTCAAAGTGTACTTTCCTTTAAATCCTTAAACTCCATTTAAAAGTACAAAAAAATGCATTGTTTAGATTCTTTGAAATCTTAGAAAGTCACCAGTAAGTAATCCATAATGGTTAATCCATTTGCTAATGATGCATCTGCATCACTACCTGTACTTACTAGCCATTATGTGAAAGGGTCTTTCTGCATTTAACTTTTTGTTTTAGCATGTTAAGTAGATCCTGCTAATTATTTATTTTCCTATAATATTGCTAAAAGCCCTGAGTTTTTTTGCCCAGAGAAGAAATATATTGTAAGTTTATCAACAAATAATGAAAATGGAAAGAACGACTATTTGTTTTCCTTTTTGTCCTTAATGAATTTCATTTTACAAATAACATTTCACTTCTTTAATATGATTTTCCTTTTCTAATAGATAACTGCCTACAATAGGCGCACCTTTGAGACTGCAAGGCATAATTTGATAATTAATATAATGTCAGCAGAAGGTAGGTACGGAAAAATATGTTGATCATTTCCTTATTTACAAGAAGCATTTCATTATCAAATTTTATAACTGTATAAAATATAGTTAAGAATTTTAAAACACCACAAACCTAATTCAACTGATGAAGTAGTAAATGTAGCAAAGAAAATTGAGACATATCTAAATATGTAAAACAACATGGTATGTTACTCTGAAGAACTAAGGATGGGGGCTGAACAAGGATGCCACTTCTTAAACCCTTGTTTTCTTCATTTGTAAAATGCTACCAAGAACATGCTTTCTCTTATATATCTGTAGTAAGGATTCTTTGAGATAACTCTTGAAAAGTGTTTGAAAAGATCACAGTGTACACAGTTAGTAGTTATTAGCTACTTTTATTATTTTACTTTAATATTTACAATAGGTTCCTTTGTATATGAAGATAAGCTGTAATTTGGAGCACTTTCCCTGCTGAATTAGCTAATCATATATCAGTAATGACAACAGTTTGTCTGCAATTTAGAGACATATATGCCCAAATGGTAAGTGATTTTCTTAGGATTTTGAAGTTAGGGACAACGGAACTTTTCCAAGAATTACACTCTCAAATATTTTGACCCCATGCTAGCAGTTGGGAAGAGTGCACACCATTAAAATCTTTGTAATTGAAATTATTAAGTCATGGGATGATCCTATCTGTACTATACATCCTTTGTGAAGGCCACAGGAGAGGAACTAGCGGGAAAAATTCCCCTCTAAAAATAGTAACCGTTATGCATTCTTTATAGGGTAATTCTTGCTTCTGTTTACCAGAACAATTACAAACAAGCATGCAAACACAAAACATTTTACTAGGATGTACTAATTCAGTAAGGGCTGGGTTAAAAACTGCCTTTAGACAATATGAAAGAAAGCAATTTCAGTAAAATTAATAATACATACATGGAGAGACTACTTGAAGACTTTAACCTCCTTAAGTGAAATATTCCCAGGTGTTTTAGCAGTATCAATGTATAAGTTAATGGCCTTCATACATGAAACTAAGGTCCAAGCTTTTGTTGTATGGGCCTAGATAGAGGACTCCCTGTCCATGTTCCTACTTCCCAAGGGCTTTTGATAGGAATTTTTGTTTGGATCAGGGAGATTTTTGGTTTTGATTACAATTGTGATTGGATATTTGTATACAATCTGAGATGTCCCTGTTGGTATTGGGATGCCCTTAATGAGCAGAATAATGACACACTTAATTTTCTCCTCAGGAATACATCACAAGAGTTATGCTGTTATATTGCAGTGGTCTTGGGCCATTGGATCTCATCCAATGTGCTTTCAGTGGGATGCAAAACTTTTTGTCAAATATGGGAGTTCCTATAAATTGAAAGACTGACTAGTCTACAGCTTGACCTTCCTCCTTTTCCAGCCTAGTCTCAGTAGGGTAGAACACAGGGCCTCTTAATAGGTGTTGTTATTGATATATGGGGACCCAACAAGCATGGAAGACTGCTAGATAACCAAAAGATCTAAAGTTTGTGTGGGGGTTTATCTAAATCAGGGGTTCTGAAGCTGTGCACATGAAGGAGAAAAAGTAGAAGGGCTTTTGGAAGCTTCCACTTTGATGTTAGATAAGCAGAGCTGCTCCACTGCCCTGTATATGTGGTTCCGTGACCCAAAACTGTTTGGAAACCACTGAACTTAAAGGTCGTGCATTTGTCCTTGCTGGTCTAGACAGAATATGTGTGCACACTAGGATGAGCATCTTTGAGCATGGCCTTCACTCATGCTGTTTGTCCCAGATAAGGTTTAGGAAGAGAAGTAACAACGTTGTAAATCAGGGTAATCATGCTCAGTCCAACTCCCTGCCCAGCTGTCTCCTGTTTTGAGAGACCTAATGGGAAATTAGTCGTGTAGACTCACTCAGCATGGAGCTCAAGGAGAGTACATAAAGTGATTCTCTAAATTGGGTTTAGCGCCTCAGAGGCCTGCCACCAATCTGTTGGCCTACTGTTCTCTTGGCCTCTGTGATTTCCGAATATAGCAGGCATGGGATTTCCCCAGAGTTAGAAAGCTGCTATGACTCATCTCTGGGAGGCCTGACAGCAGCTCTTGGCCCAGTAGACAGCAGGCAGCTGCTTAGCCCAAAGTCTCTGAGGGGTGTGGTGGTAGCAACAGGCTTCACAGCAGGGATCAAATAGGGAGTCATGGAGCAGGGATCAAGAGAAGCCAAACAACACTTCTCCAAAAAGTAGCACTAATCATATGAAAGAAATTTTACAAACTTTAAAAAAAAAACTAAATGTAAAAACATTGAATGAAATGAAGAATGATAGACTTCTGACATTAAAACTATACTTAGTATTATTTATAATATTATTTATCATCAAGAAACTCTTTATCATTCATTTTTACATGAATATTTCTAGGTATGGGGGGAAATGTCCTATCATTAAGATACTATTTATCTCTAGTAGAAAAGAAAGGTGTATAAACAGGAGATTTATCTGCATGAAAGAGAATAAATTATATTTTAGAAGACTGCAAGATAGGCTGTGCATTAACAAATTTTTTTTGGTGTGCAAATCTAAAAAAAAATCACAAGGAGAATTAATGACAGTATAGGAGATAAGTAAAAAACTTTCTGTGACTAGAGCCTTGAAGGACTAAGTCTTTAGGAAGAGATGACCATGCTCTGGACAACTCTGTTGTAAACTCTGAAGCCAGTTCTCTGACTTCAACTCTGGCATCCACGTGTTCTTTAATGTCAAGGAGGTTCCATAATAAATGAGATCATCAAGATTTCAGGTGCTTAGTATGTTATTTTTATTTTTCATTTGGTAAATAAGAGTGGAAAAACTTTATGGATTCAAGAAGTTTGTTGAAATAAATCAGAAGATACACATAGTATAATTACTATTGGGGACTTTGAATCTTTGTAAAGTCCGGAAATATTTTCCTGTCATTTTAAAGTAAGATTTCAGATAACCAGCCTTTTCATATCACTATAATAAAAGCTCAAGTATTACTCTTCCATAAGTTCTTACTACATGTTTGGAACTTTGCTGAGTACTTTAGAGACATCCTTTTTCCTTTAGCTTAGGAAAAATCACATGGGGTAAGTTCAAATTATTGTAAGCTCTTGGACTTCTCTAAAGATGAGGTTTCCCATCTTAAAAGCCTAAGGAAAAAGACAAGAATCCACCCTCATTCCTGTAGTGAGAATTATGTTATAATTCATCTAATTCTCTGATTTTGGTCTGCCTTGTGAAATACTTTTTAAAAAATGAAATTTTATTATTACAAAAATAGTATTAAATAAAAAAGAAATCTATTTTATCTTAATAGAACAATCAAAACATAGGATATAAACATGATTAGTAATTCAAGAGTAACACTTGAGAAGCTGAAGTGGTTTTATATTTATTTAGAGGTTTTTACATTGACAATCTGAATTTGACATCGGGTTGATTGAAATATTAATTTTGAAGTGTTTAAAGGAGAATTCTGATGAAACCTCAGGATGAAAAAAAGCTAACAAAATCTCTAACAATGTGAGACATGGAACTGCATGAGAACTTTATGATTTTTCTAGAATATTTAATCATAGTGATCAAAATAGTAGAATTGCTCTGGCATTTAGAATTCTTGTTGTATATATAATCAGTGTTTATTGCATAAAAAGGAATGTTTTAGAATGCTCTAAACAATATCAGTAATATTATAAATTAAAAACACAGATTTAGTTTTTCTTTTTTTTTTGGACCAAATTCTACAATCATAAATTGCCTTTAGATGTTATTATATTGTAGACGCAGTTCTGTGTTTAAGGTGTGTTAAACACTTGTCCCTTGGTGTTCACAGGGTTTTATTTCCAGACCCCGGGGGACACCGAAATTTGTAAACGCTCAACTTTCATAGAAAATGGCACAGTGTTTTCACATAACTTATATATCTCCTCTCTTATACTTTAATTCAACTCTAGATTATTTATAATACCTAATACAGTGTAAATGCCATGGGAATAGTATATTTTTTTAGGGAAAAACCCTGTACATGTTGAGGACAGATAAAATTTTTAAGGGTATTTTTGATCTGCAGTTGGTTTAATCCAAGGATGTTCAACCAGTGGGAGTGGAGGACTGATTGTTTTAATACCGCTCTTACTGCCAGAGTTGTGACAGAACTTAACCAAAATCAAATTATTTTTGTTTCCCTTTAAAAAGACTAGTTTATTAACATCAGGTGTACTCTTTTTTCACAAACAAAATAGACTTCCCGTTGCCGTATCAAGCAGAATTCTTCATTAAAAATATGAATGTGGAAGAAATGTTGGCCAGTGAGGTTCTTGGAGACTTTCTGGGGGCAGTAAAGAATGTGTGGCAGCCTGAGCGCCTGAATGCTATAAACATCACGTCGGCCCTAGACAGGGGTGGCAGGGTGCCGCTTCCCATTAATGACATGAAGGAGGGGTAAGCAGACCTTTATCTCATTGCCTTAAATATGGATTTTTAAATATGGTGCTCTTATCAAACTTACTGTAGATGGAAGATGGCCTATTACATTTTTCTTTTTAATAAAAAACAGATATTGTAAAGATATCAACATACTAGCAATTTTCTATATTGACAAAAGAGGTCATATTAATGGTTCTTTAAATCTGGAGTCTCAGGTCCTGTGAAATCTAATTGTAGATCAGATCAGCATAATAAATTATAGCACCAAGTCTTTTGTACCTTCTTTAGAGAAGCTGATTATTTAGGGCCATGAATTTCAAAGGAAATTGATGCCCTAGTTATCTGCTGTAGAAGGATGCACTGACTGCTGTAACTTTATTCTAGGAAACTATTTCTTCGCCTTTAACATTCTTTCCACCATGTGTCGGTGACTGATAGCTGGAGTGGATTTGAAACCATTCCTGTGACACGAGAGCCTAAAGCCTGGCCTTGTCACTCACAGACTGGGTGACATCAGGCAAATGCCGAAGTCCTCTGGGCCTCAATTTCTTCTTCTGTTCCTTGGGGAAACACTTTCTTGCAGGGTTGTTATAGTGATTAAACTAGACAAAGCATTTAAAAGGGATTTGTCAATTTTCAAGCAGTAGGAATACAAAGTATGACCTGTAGCCTTGGAGGAGTCAAGGACACTGCTGCCTTGGTAAATTGAAAGCATCAGTGTCAACATCAAGCCAAACCTTCCATCTTTAATTTCTAATCTGTATGTTGATACAGAATTGCTTTTCCCCCCAATCCTCTATAAGTACAGTATGTGGAATAAATCACATTTTGCACAACATGTTCTCTTTCTAACTTCCTCATCCATAATCCTGGTCACACTTTCATACAGGTGATATCTGAAATTAACTAGGATACCTGGATTAGTAAGAATTAGATTTCAGGGCAGCTTTGGAGAGAACTTTGTTGGAAATAACAGAAAAGATCACAAATACAAATAAATGAAGTTTGAGGGAGTAGGCAGAAGGGGGATGGAGAAAAGCAGTGATCTGTGAAGTCCAACTTAATTTCAGAATTAAGTTTATCTTCTATGGGATAGCAATGGATTTTGAAGTCACTCAAGCACATGTAAGAAGTGCTTTGAGGAAAATAGTTGGCTTATCTCTTGTCTCTGTGCTGGTTGACTTTCTATATGAAAATATAACTCTAAAGCTCAAATTTTCACTGTAGAGTTAAAATACGAGCCTGTTTCCCACTGAATAATTAAAAAAGTAGAACCAGGGAATGAGATGGGCAGGGAAATCCTTCTGAAAAAAATTCTTCCAATATGGAGCTTTTTCAATAGTTTTCTTATTGTGTCCCTTGATGATTGTTAAAACAAGCACCATGCCAGGTGAGGTGGCACACACCTGTAACCCCAGATACTGGAGAGGCTGAGGCAAGAGAATTGAAAGTTGGAGGCCAGCCTTGGTAACTTAGTGAGACCCTGTCTCAAAATAAAAAAAAAATGAAAAGGGATGTAGCTCCGTGGTTAAGCACCCCTGGGTCCAATTCTTAGCACTGTACTGAGAAAATGGTGGAGAAAACAGTAGGAAAACCAAGTACTAGTAAAGTCTTTCATAGTTACATTTTCTCTTGGGCTCACTCCTTCTCTAGTCAGTCATACAGACACCACTTTTAGAATCTAAACTAAACTAGATTCAACTAAGCAATCTCTAAACCAAACTGACCTAAAGTGGTGCTTCCCAACCATGTCCAGCTTGAGAGTCACCAGTAAAACATGATTAAAAATACAGAGAGGTTGCTAGCCTCTGATACAACTTAGAGATTCTTATTTTTTGAACTTAGGGCTGGGCCTGAGCATGTGACTCTAAATTAAGAACAGAATTTTCGTCCTCCAAGTACTTGTTGAGAATTCAATCATTAGCTGACTGACCCCCAACACCTGCTAGAGGGTGGCATATGCTGTCAGCTATTTGAGAGAGTCAGTCCTGTGGCACTTATTTAGACTCTTGTCTCAGATCCCTTCCCAACTTGAAATGCTTTCCATGAGTTTTAATTTAATGTTAAGCCTTAACCTTTACAAAGTATTCATATGAGAAGTCTTTAAAAATAGCATTTCTATAAATTGTACCCAATGCCAACTCCATTACTTCAGTGATCCTATACAAGCCCCAATGAAATAGGATCCTACTTGAAGTATAATTCCAAAAGAAAAGTTTACCCCTGAGAATGATTTTGCATGTTTTCCTTAGTTGGCATCTAAGGTCATGATTACAAAAATAATTTTTTTTAGCTCTATTGCCTTAAATTTAGAAATAAATTCTGTGCTTAACTCATTTTTGGCGCCTTTCTTCCTTTTTAGTGATGTATATTGTTGTTTTACTTCACTTAATATACCTTTAGCCTTTGTATTTTCTTATGAAAATATCATAGACTATAGATCCTTTTTTTTTAAAAAAATTAAATACTATAAAGACTAAGAGTGAGGATCAGAGATAGCCAAGAAATTGATTCCCTTACTTTTCTAAAATTATTTTAAAAACGTATTTATATACTTCAGAAGTATTAACCAAGCACCTAATAAATGTGTTCTGCTTAATACTTAGGATATGTCATGGCAGCCACAATCTACTAACTGCATATTTTTCCTTATTTGGTATACATAATCAAATAAACAGCAGATGACTGTGTAGCTCTTAGTAGTAGACTCTATCCAAGGGGTCTAATACTATATACAAGTAGTAGGATTTACTTGCATACATTAAGTGTCCTTCTATAGCCTAATGGGTCATTAAATATCAATCATTAAGAACCCATTCTGTAGCATCCCAGCTCCTCACCCTTTTTGATGTGTATTTTTTCATCTTTACAGAACTCATTGACAGCTTTCAAACTTCTAAATCAAACAGAAAACAATTATAAAGATTTATTTCAAAGTGAGTAAGCTTCTGCAAAGGAAGGTTGAGCCCTCTGAAAAGATTCATTTTCACTCGCCAGATTCATAACCCCAGTACAACTGTGCTGTCTCTGGGCATGTTCTTGGTGTTGCTTTTGCTCCTGACACCAAGCCAGAGACTGAGGACTTGTGGATGTATTTAGCCTGGGATAAAGCTGGTGGAAAGAAGAGCAGGTTCATATTTCATTCTAGGCATGTCATAGCTGCCAACCACTGGTGAATGATGTGGTGTAAATGGTGACTATGAAGGGAATGATTGGGTGTGAGGATTAAAGAATATACTCACTTTTCATAAGAGATTGTCAAAGCTACCACTATTTCCTCTAGTTACCAAAGCATGTAGATCTAGCCTCAATCAGCAACAGATAATCCTACTTTATTTTCTAGACCATCTCAAAAAATACTCTAAGTAATCATCTGATTTTTGCCCTATGTCAGAGTCCTCAGTGAAAAGTTGTGCTTGAGGAAGAATGTAAGTCAATAGCTGTCACATATTGGTCTAATGGAAAGTCATATCCTGAGCCAGTCTGTAGAATTCTGAAATTATCCTCATGCTTGATAATTTATAGGATTACTTATTATCCTTAAATAATGTCCCTCCTATATTTTTGGTTCATATAGCCTTTATTTTTTGGAAAAGTGGTAACATGAAATAGGAATGTTTGAAGATGCCTTTAAAGTAGAAACCCATTTCAGTCCATTTTTATAGCAAAAAATAAATTAAATCTATGCAACTATATGTTTAATATCTATTCTAAGTTCTGCCATTTTTTCCCATAATTTAAAATTAAGTATTTTATTTTTTTTAAGTGGGAGAATATTGTGTTAGTCCCTGGGGCACAGTGACTTTAAAAAATACAACTTATGCTCACAAGCTTATAGGGACTAGGTGAGTAATCAGATAATTGAAGTCAGTGTTGTGAGGTGTTCCCAGAAAGGGCTCCTTTCTCATTCTTGTCTGTTGCTGGAAAAGTTCACAGAGGAAGTAAAGCATGATCTGAGTTGGAATATGAGTACCAATTAGCCTGTGGAGACTATGAGGAAGGGGAACTCTGAGGAGAGTGTAATGGAATTGAAAACATACTTAGTATAGAAGTTGGGGAAAGGGATTCAGAAGTGATTGTTATGCAGAGGACAAAGACCAGAGACCATGAAGGCCTTGTACGCTAGGAAAAGTTGTGAATTTTATCCTGAAGCACTAGGGACTGTAGCAGAAAATGGTTGATGTTTAAGTTTTTATTTTAGAAAAGATCATACTTGTGGAATTAGGGGAAGACTGAATGAAGAAATGCTGTAATGAGATAGGTATTGGGACTTTAGGTGACCTAGTGACATCCATGTTTTCTGCCAGGGAAACACAAATGAGAGGAATGTGAGCTTTCAAGCCAATTCTTACAGAATTTAGAGCCTTTAAAACCCTTACTTCTCTAAGGAATAATCACATCCCTTTGTTCTTTGTGCAGAACAAAGAGGTGGGGTGAGAAAAAAAGGCAAAAAGTCCTGTGCTGCTCAAGTGTTTCCCCCTGGAAACATGTATATTTACACATTCTTCCAAGTTGGTTTCGTAACATTTTTATGCACAAAATAACAGGTAGAATATATTCATGAGTTGGACAATTAGGGAAAAACACACAGTCATTGGATTTATTTATCTGGCTGTTGATGAAAAAAGCAGAGATTGAATTAAATTATTTGCCTTTTACTTGGTCCTTCACATTGGATGTTCAAAGGCCTCAGTAAATACATTCTACATCAAGGATGGAAAATTGAATTGTTCAAATTGGAAGAAAAAATTCTTCATAAGAAACAATTCTATCTAGTGTGCACGATTTCCTACCATTTTGAAGAACCCTGTTTTGTTAACATTCATTGAGGGCCTTGCACTTGCTAATATAACCCCATCTAAGCCAATAACACATATTTGAAATATTAAAAACACATATGTGCTAAGGTCAAAAAGTTAAAGATCATCCTCATTTCACTGCATAAAAATTTTAAATTTCTTCATATCAAAAACTTACCTAAAAGGCAAACAGATTTTGAAAAATGTAATTTTAGC